CCGAGGGGCTGTGACACCGGGAGGGGGCTACGACACCGGGGCGGGCACCGAGCTCCCCCCGCGCCGCTGACGGGACACGGCTGTGAGGGTGACAGGGCCGCCAGCCCCTCGGCTGCGCGACATGGCGGGGAGCGCGACGTGGCCTGGCAGCGTTGTCACCGCTGCTGGCCCTCCTGCCCACCGGAGCTCACTCAGCCCCGCCGCCCGCCCTCCCCCCGGGGCTCTCCCCGCTCCCTCGAGGTAAGAACTCGGTCCCTCAAAAGGACCGGTCCCGGTCGCTCAAAGGGGTCCCGGGGAGTGTAGGCCCCTCTCGGCCGCCGTAGCCGCACCGGAAGTGCTCCCCGTTGCCATAGCGGCGCTGCCGGCAGGGCTCAAGATGGCGGCGGCGATGGCGGTGGCGGGAGGGGAGGCGGAGGAACCGGGCGGCTCTTTCCGTCGATACCTGGCGCGGTTGGGCGCCCTGCGGCCTCAACCCGGCGCGGAGAGGCCCGACGATGACGGCCGCCGCCGCACCGAGCTCCACCTGCTCTTCGACCAGCTCATCTCCGAGAGCTGCGGGCCGGCGCCGGCGGTCGGGCCCAGCCCGCAGGTACGGCGTGGGGGGGGAGCGGGGCCGCGGGGGCTGCACACACACGATGTGTGTGTGTGTGTAAGTGTAAGAAGGCGCTTGCATGTGGATCTGCACCTCCCGGGGGTGTACACATCACGCGTGTGAGCGCACACTGAGGCGGGGCTCCCCCCCCAACCCCACACCCCGCATCTATGGCCCCTCATGTGGGGGACACGCGTGTGCGCGGCCCCGCGGGAGGGGGTGCGGTGCTTTCCCAGGGGTGCACCCCCACGGCCTTCCCGTCCCTGAAAGGGCCGACAGCAGAGATGGGGACAGACGGGTGGTTTTTAGCAGGGCCTGCTGCCATGGGACAAGGGGGAACGGCTTTAACCTAAAAGAGGGGAGATTTAGCCTAGAGATAAGGAGGAAATGTTTTACGCTGAGGGTGGTGAGACACTGGCCCAGGTTGCCCGGAGAGGTGTGTAGGGCAACAGAGATGATGGAGGGGTTGGAGCATCTCCCTGATGAGGAAAGGTTGAGAGAGCTGGGGCTCTTTAGCCTGGAGAAGGCTGAGGGGAGACCTTATTCATGCTGACAAGGATCTAAAGGGCAGTTTGAGGGAGGATGGAGCCGGACTCTTCTCAGAGGTTCCCCGTGACAGGACGAGGGGCAACGGGCACAAGCTGGACCATGGGAAGTTCCACTCCAATGTGAGGAAGAACTTGTTTGGGGTGAGGGTGGCAGAGCCCTGGCAGAGGCTGCCCAGGGAGGGTGTGGAGTCCCCTTCTCTGGAGATCTTCAAGCCCCGCCTGGATGCTCCTGAGTGATGTGCTCTGGGGAACCCTGCTTTGGCAGGGGAGTGGGACCAGATCATCTTTAGGGGATCCCTTCCAACTCTGACAATTCCGTGACTCCGTGGTGGATCCCCCATCCCTGGAAACATTCCATGTCAAGTTGGATGGGGCTTTGAGCAACCTGCTCTAGTTGGAGATGTCCATGCTCATGGCAGGGAGATGAACGAGATGGGCTTTAAAGGTCCCTTCCCACCCAAACCATTCTATGATTCCATGATGGAGCTCCCAGCAGAGGATAATCAAGGGAGTGGAGCTCTGCTGTCCTGTGCCAAAACCCTGCTGGGGTTGGCACACGTGTCCTGGCAGCAGGGGAGCATGAACACGGGTGGAGACGGTGGGTGACACCAGTGAGTGGGTGGCGGGTGGGACTGTGGGCACAGGGACTGGACAATTTTCAGTCTGCTATTCAATTAAAAATTTTGTAGCCTTTAAAGTCAGCCTTGCAAAGTTGAGTACTGTAGTATTGCAGTGTTGATACTGCTTCATTTGGAACGCACTGTCCTTCATTATTATGCTGTAAACAGTACTGACTTACCAATTTTCCATCATTTTATTTCCAGAGTAGGCTTTGCATTTTGAAATTAATTCGTTTTTGGACAGTGCTCCTTCCCTCCAACCTGCTTCTGTTCCTTGATCTAACTTTGTATTTTTCTTTTGCCATTATTATTGGCTTTGCTTTGGTTCAGTGTTGAAGTGGTGTTGTTTGAGCAGCACTCATGCTGACACAGATTCAAAATGCAGATCTCTGCATTTATCAAGCAGAAGGTTTGGGGATAACTGAGGGGAAGCTCAGTTTTATTCATTTCGTTACATTATCTGCGTGTATTAATGCTAATGGTATCCACACACAGATCTGCTTTTGTGATCAAAGTCTTAGCTGATGATGTGGTTTCCACCCTAGCTTTGTAGTTTCTAAATAATCAAACGAGGCTTTCTTTTCCAGGATGTTTGTGCTGTGCTTGTCCAAGCCTGTCAGCTGGTTCACCTTGATCAGGAACATCTTGTCAGCAAAGTTTGTCAGCTTATCCACCACTTACTTAACAGATTTCAGGTACAGAAAGTTTGGCCCTGTCCCTCTTTTCCCTGTGTTCTGGCTCCCTGGTCCCACACTGCACACTGCACTGTCTCTTTTATGAGGCTACAGAGCTGATCTTTATGTAGAGTTTCTCAGATTTTCACTGTATTGATTATTTATTCTTAGCTGAGGTTCTGATCTGGAGTTCTAGCGTGGTTCCTTTTGTAAAACCAGCTCTCAGTCAGAAGTGATACATCATCCTGGTTATAGGACACTTGTGTTGATTTATCCATTTCTTAAATGTCATCTGATTCTATGATCATGAATAATTTTAACAGCCAAGATCCCCCAAGTCTGTAACCAATAAATCTGGATATATTGACTCTAGCAGTACAAGATGATGGTTTCTTGACCACGGTCCTTTTCTGTTGGAGCAGGTTATGGTTGATGAACAGAACCTGAATTTTCTTCTCTCCTACTGCATCTCTGCACTTAAGCAGTGCAGCTCATGGACACATGTTGAAATTCTGCAAGCCTTAGCAGCTCTTGTTTACAATAATGGACCTAAATGTCAGAAGGTAAGTTTAAAGGCTAAGAGAAAGTAACCACAAAATATTTGCACCCTTTTGCTGTTTCTGCTGTCTTTTTTTTTTTTCCCCAAAAGAAAGAATAAAACAGTATCATGTTCTCAAATCACCACACATTTTTTTTTTTTTTTTTTCTCAAAAGAGAATAAAAAAGTATCATGTTCTCAAATCACCACACCGCTCATGGACACATGTTGAAATTCTGCAAGCCTTAGCAGCTCTTGTTTACAATAATGGACCTAAATGTCAGAAGGTAAGTATAAAGGCTAAGAGAAAGTAATCACAAAAATATTTGCACCCATTTGCTGTTTCTGCTGTCTTTTTTTTTTTTTTTTTTTTCAAAAGAGAATAAAAAAGTATCATGTTTTCAAATCACCACACCTTTTAT